CAAAACCACATTCGACCGATTATCGATATGCATACACATTAATGTCTGATTACGATTATATATATATACATATATATATATATATATATGCATATTCGTAATTAGGCATTATATATCTATATATATTAGATGCTTATATATATTAGACAACATATATATATATATATATATATATATATATATATATATATATATATATAATCGCAATTAGATATTAATGTGTACATACATCAATAATCTGTTGAATATAGTTTTTATTACAAATCATGAAATATGTATATATATATATGTGTGTGTGTGTCGTTGTATATCTATCTATCTATCTATCTATCTATATATATATATATATATATATATATATATATATATATGATGAAAAATAGTTTTAAGATATGCTATGTATACACGCATATGTGTCTAATTACGAATATAAACAGGGTGCGATGGGTAAATTGCGTCCATTTTATATTTTTAATTTTGCGCATGCCCGTTGATTGATTTTTGTCGTCTGCACAGTATAGTAGAGTCGTCCTCTAGTCTGATGAAGTCTTTCTAGCGGACAAAACGCGTAACATTGAGTCGTTCTGGAGCAGTTTTTTTTTCAACCGGGGGGAAATTTCTCCCAAGGAAGAATTTCAGAGTCTATGCAGGGGAGGGAAAATTACTTTTTCCCAAGGTTCTCTTTCATCAGAAGAAAATCGATTTAAATACTCTGGCCTTCTATTAAACTTCAATTTATTTGCTTAATAATAATTTACGAATTAAAACAAACAGTCTTTATTGTCATTAATTTTGTAAAGTTCATCTATAAAAATAATCCATGTAGATGTAGTAATATTGAAAATATTCGTATTTTTTAATAATACAGTAGAACGCCTGAAAACCAGACTAAGAAGGTCTTTCGCATATGACGAATTGGTTACAAAGTCCGGATATGAGGGATTATATTTTGATTAAAATAAAAGAACTGAAATCAGGTTTAACATATCTTTTCAATGTTTTATAGTAAACAAAATAAGCTAATGTTGAGTGAAATATAACGGAATTGATTTTAAAGAATAAGAAACAAATTAAGTAATATTAATGAAAATTCATTAAATTAAGTATGCCAAGTTTGTAAAACAAATAATGTAACGAGGATTTTTAATCGCTGATGCATGATGATTCTTTCTCTTCTAATGTCATTCTCAACTTTTTCCGCATTTCGTTTTGCTTTTTCCTTGAAATTTTTTAAATGAATGACAATTTTCAACTCTGCGTGTCTAATTGCAATCGTCATAACAGAATGCTGGCTATCTTTCCATATTGCTGACAACCTATTCAATAAATTTTCAATTTCCGTCGAGGTTTCATCAGAAACATGTATTTTTAATTTCTTGTTCATTGTGACACTGTGAACGATGGAGAATAGTTTCTTTGGAAGATTTTATATCATATAATGTTGGCTTTCTTATGTTGAACTCAGCCATAAATTACAGCGTCTAGTATGTTTAAAATGTCCACTTTTGCCATAAATCCAAAGTTGTTCTTTTCCTCTTATTCCCATCATCTTTTGCACCAATACAAGACATTAGAGTGAAATAAGCATAAGCAATTATCCAAAGTAAATTCCGGAAAAACAGAAATTTCAAATCAGTTGAATATCAGCCAAATTGTTCAATTATACACATCAAAATCATATCAGGATATGCGGAATTCCGGATATGAAGAACTCCGGATATGAGAGATTCTACTGTATATACGTATTATTTGAATTGCACCTTTTGAGTCTGACAATCATTGAAAGGTGAGTGGAATGATATTATGACTTTTGGTGAAAAGCGTGCATTGGAAAAAAAAAAGCGTGAGAACCACTGGGCTCAGGTGTGCGTTTTTGTGTGTGCAACTATGAGTGTGTAAAATTTCAGATATTACTAAAAATATATCCGTAAAAGGACATTTTGAACAAAGACAAAAGGAAAATCTATGCTAACCGACTCGTTTTGTTCTCTGATGGACGTTATTAAGGCAATATAAGAACTTTATTTTGCAATAAATATTTATAAACAGAAGCAAGAATTTAGTTTTTTTCCGAAGTTTTAAAATTTGACAGCTATATATATATGCACACATATGTTTATATATATATATGTCCTGACGGACGACCAATATATATATGTATACGTATATATATATATATATATATATATATATATATATATATATATATATATATATGTGTGTGTGTGTGTGTGTGTGTGTGTGTATGTATGTGCGTGTAAAATAAATAAAACCTAATGAACCAGGTACTACCTACCTATTCTTAATAGATGCAGCCAAAGGAAAACATGGTTATTAGAATAAAGGTTGTTGTCTTGGAATTTTTTTTTAGTCACGTGTTTTATATCTATTTAGGCTTATGCTAATTTTAGGTTTTAGCCGTGAGTTTATCAATAAATTTGTTTCTTGTTAATTCCTGCTTAGCCAGTTTAGCCTGATGATCCCATTTGTTGAAACCTAGGTAGGTAGTATCTGGCTCATTAGGATAAATATATTTTACTTTTGCTCTGTTTAGTATATTGAGCACTCTTCGATTTTCGTAAAATACATCTATTGGATACTTTAGTACACATCATCAGTGATGTTTCTAGCCGAGGCTCATTAGGGGTTTCGGGTTTTTCAACATTATACCCCATCACGATGGTGACCCAGCCGATCATGATCGGGTATCAATTTGTGTACCTTCCGTCAGCTACAAGTTTGTCGATCTTCCAACGTGCCCACTATACGACTCTTCTTGGCAATTTATTGTCCAATCCTGGGTGACTTCAGGTTCACCAGCAGTGTACGCTCTTCCCTAAAAAAGGAAATAAATTCCGCCACAATTTCTATTTGATCAAGAATATGGCGGCGTGCTGGGCTTGAAATGGTAAGTATAGGTTTGATTCATCCCGGAAATACACACACACACACACACACACACACACACACACACACAGAGAGAGAGAGAGAGAGAGAGAGAGAGAGAGAGAAACGTATTCAAATAACACATTCTGTTTACATTTACCCCCATTTTCAGTAATGGCGAAGGAAAATTAACTTATTACTCGCTGGTTTTTTTTTTTCTTTGTACCAGATATTTAAGGTACTGAACGATTTCTTTCGTCCTCTTTGGACGTTTCTGGTGCTAGGCTAACTAAATAGTCTAGTTAAGTTAATGGGGGATGGTAAATGACATCATTCACTGTCTAATAAATAAATGTGAGTTATTGTTTGTTTTAATAATGTAATTAATGTTTATATTATTTTAATTTGGGATTAATTTATTATATTATATATTTTAAGTAATATAATTTTACGAATTTTAGCGTTTTCTTCTAATTTTTTAACATGTTTATAGTACGTTGGCTGAATTTTTGAAAGCAGTTGTGGGTTCGCCATCATAAGCTTCGTTTCATTATCCTTAATGTCGTCCAAAGTTCGAATTTATGTTGCATTGTTACATCATCATGAGTGGTTCGAATTAGAGTTTGAAAACTACAATTTATTGCCTAGTGTGCTGACTCAGTTGTGTTGGATTAATCTGTTTTCAAGCCAACACACCAAAGTTACACATACTATGTTTCTTACGGTAATTCAAATCAACTCTGCAGAAAGTTTTACTTGGAGTAATAAATAACACAGCACATATGGTCTGGATTGGCTACTTTTATTTTCTCTAACAGAGAAGTTTAGTTTACTATTTGTCAGTGATGGAAAAGCTGTTGTCAATGGGAGAAAAAGTCTTTACGCTTACTTTGGAAAAACATGCACTACCTGTTGAAGATTCTCATTGAAGAATTTTGGAGGATGAAGCCACGTTTTTTTGTTTTACTAGTAAATATCATCTCATTACTGATGCGTCAATTCACGGGCCGATTATAAGCCATCTCCATATTCTGATATCGTATTTCAGAAATAAGATATAATTCTGACATCCCGGCAGGTTATTATTTGGGAGATGTTTTTTCTTCTTCACAATATTAAAATCTCCTTTACACAGGGAGTTTTAACTTTTCGAAAATCACGAAGTTAAAGGAAAGAAATTATTAAGTGTTCTTAGTCACTAGCTATAAAATATTCTGCATGTGATCATAAGGGTATTTAATACTTATACAGTACATAGACTTAGTAGCATTCCCCCACTAACTAGCAACTCACAAAGAATGTATGCTTATGCATGCATAATAATGTGGTTCTGCTGAATTTTATGATACATAATGATTTTAAATTCATATAATTATGAATCAATACGTCTCAGCAGATAACTGTATATAAAAATAAAATTGTTTTATTTTTTATGCAAGATTATTTCTTCACTTAAATTTTAGAGAGCACACATAGAGTTTTTGCATTAATAGAGATTATCCCAAGCCGGGCAGTAAAGAAACCGGCAGACAAGTAGATAATGACGTCGAAGAGTTAGTACAAGAACATTAGTAAGGAGTGAGAAAGGAGGAAGAGTAATCAGGGGGAGAATAGATATCGATTTTCATTGCTCTGAATTTTTTGCAGATTAAAGTTAGCCGGAAGGCATGGAACCGGGTGAGAGTTCCAAAGCGAAAATTGCGAGAAAATAAACTGTTAGTATAGAACGTACGGCTACATCTAGCCAGTTCGACTATAAATTGGTGGGATCCTGTTGCCAGTTTGGTGCTGCGCTTATATTCGAAAAGTCTCGACATAATAGTGAATATATTACTACGTTATATATCTTGTTTCTGACCATGGGACCCGGGTTCGAATCTATACCACAGGTTGACCCAAGCCTTGTGAGTGAAATTGGGTAGATGAACCTTGTCGATAGCTGTACTAGCACGAAGTCACAAATCATCGTGGCTGAGGGCTTGAGCGTGCTGACCTTGTTCAAATTGTTGATCACGCTAGATAACAAGCTCTCTCACAGAAACTGTAACTAAGGTCTGCTAAGCAAATTTGCAGTATAAACCACAGGTGGGTACTATGGGTGTTGAATAAACACAAATGCACCTAAGCAAGCGTCTGCAATAGGGATTGGCTAGCCGCCCTAGTAAGGCGGGTATCATAGAATACGCGTGGTCAGCTATGCATATAACTTGTATGAGTATTATAATGAATATAGTTTTTTTATCCAACGTAACATCTTATTAATATAATATATAATTCAAACAAAGCCCCGTCAGCTTTGTTTCCGTGGCCAAACTGTAGCTGCAGGTTTTGGCTACAAATGAATTTCCCTGATAGGGAAAAAGATACAGTTTCGATTCCCGTCGGAGGCACAATTTTTCTTGAGAAGGATCGGCAATATAGGCTGATTGTTTTTAATTTCACAGTTTAAGAAAATACAATAGAAACCGGTAGCACTAAAATTAACAGCATCTAAATAGCATTTCGACACTCATTTCTTTGTTTCTAAAGTTACTTTCTTTTTTCTTAATACTTTGCTTAGGTTTTGGAAGGCATCTTTCACTTTTTCCTTGCGCATTCCGGTTCTGACTTGGTCATGTTTCTCTTACATTCCGCGAGAATTATATTCATGACAATATTTTCAAATGTATAGAAACAGCAACATCCTATATCTGAGTTTTACCTTTTTCTCTTATGCACAGAGAGAAATCCGTTCATGTTTTTCCCAAGGTCAAATGTGACAAATGAATTCAAACATCGTCATTCAAAATGACCCAATTGTCTTAAACGCGGTGTTAATTGAATTCATGCCTTTCTTAATGATAAAAGTGTCAAATGAATACAAAGAACTTCCACTAAAAGCTGAATGGATCAAGTTTGTATCAAATACAGGGAAAAATGGATGTATGTCTTTCTTAAAGATATTATACTCATTTAATTTTAAAGTGATTTTGTTTTCTTTTATTGCAGGGATAATTTGGCTCATGCCTTTCCCAGAGTCATTTTCTTCAAGTGGACATTAACTATACTAGAAACATTTGAATTAATTAAACAGTTAATAAATTCAGAAACGAATTGATTCCTGTCGTCCTTAAATGCATTATTGCTAAGTGAGAATAAAAAAAAAATCATTGAAAAATTTAATTAATTTCTATGAACTCAGGCAGAAAGAGATTCATGCCTTCCTGAAGGTCAGTAGTACATTAAGGTTATTCTATTCTGTATGGCATCATACATATATATATATATATATATATATATATATATATTTCCAAAACGTACAGATATACAATATAAATGCACACACAAAATGTTAAATACATAGCAAGGTATCTGTTATTTATTCATGGAGGCCACATTCAAATAAGTAGATATTTTTTTTTATTATTTTATTTCCGAGGTTACACCTTTATTTATATATAAATATAGAATGGTAACATTTCATATATCTCTTTGCATCAATTAATATACGTGGGTACGTCACTTTGTACACACAACAGAAATTTGCAAAAACCAAAACCAAAAAACCCTCCAATGGTGGTCTATAGAAATACACATATCAACGCGCATGCGTGCTCTTCTTCATCCGCTTCCGGCTTACGGCCATGGTATGCACCTGTATATATAATTAATCACTATTTTTCCCTACGTTTGTCCGAAGTAGAAGCAAGCCCACTATAAAAAAAAAATAAATACGTAAATAATTCCGACACGATATCGTGAGGATCTTTTTTTTTCTTTTTTGGTGCGGGCGGTCCGAATGATTAGAAAAAGAGAAACAGTTATTTCCTATCTCGTTTTTTCTGTTATTTTTTGTTTGTTTTTTCGTAAGTGATAGGAAAGTAAACGTTCTCACTGTTGTATTAGATTCTTTGTTGTTTGTTTTTTATTCTTTTGATATTTATTCCCAAAGAACCTGTCGACCATTACCGATGCAGTATATATGCCTATATAACCTTGTTCTTACAGGAAAAAGAAGGCTTTGTTCTTTATATCCGATGCTTATTTCATATATTACGTCATTTTTATATTGTCTTTCGGCTCATTCATTTCGTTTTCCCTGGTTCTTTTTCATTTCTTGCTTTTTTTTAATTTTCTGTTTTGTATAATTTATCATTTTTTAATTCTTTCTAGTAATTTCTTTTTATTTCATTCTTTTCTTTATCCCTCCGCAATATATTTCATATTTCTCACTTTTATTCAGGTATTTTCTTTTCCTTCTTCCTTTCATATGCCTTTATTTTTCGTTTACGTCACTATTTTCTTCCTGAGCATTAGTTTTCTTTCTTTCTTTCTTTTTTTCTTTCTCCGAATATTATTTGCATTCTTATTATTCTTCTTATTGAGTATTTATACTTTCTTTACGTCATTATTTTATTGAATCTTTTTTTTTTAGTTATCAATTTTACCTTTTGTCTTTCTTTCTTTCCTCGATTTCTTTCTATGAACTTTTTTCCCAAACGTTCGTCTTTCTTATTCTTTCATTCTTTTTTCGTCTTTCAATATTTTTCTTTCACTGATCATTGATCCTTTTAGTTATGCCATTTCATTTCTTTTTTGTTTTTCCTTCATTTGTTTTATTAATTCTGTTTATCA